ATTTAAAAATTCATCGCTAATACTACTACGCAGTTCGTCTTGATATTCTTCATGGATGAGAATGCTCTCTCTACCGTTGTTGTAGCGACAGGTAAAATCAAGGTCAACTTCACAAGTAAGTACACAAGAGAATAAGTCTCTATGAGATTTGCATTAACCAGTGCTTCTTCCAAATCACCAATTCCTTTTCAAATAAGATAATCTAGGATCACCATGTCGCATATGTATTATGAAAGTATCAAGTTGGTGACTTAGATTTCGAAGTTCTAGTTCGCCAAATTCATCTGGATAATGTTTGGCCAATATCATCATTTTTTCCTTATCAAAATTAGCAAAAACATTGACCGGATTCAAGCTTGCCATACCAAGAAGCAAGTTACCACTCACAACATCAAATCAATTATTAAGCTATTGTAGTTGCAAGTCAATAATAGCATAAAGAGCTCAACACGTAAGTGATGTGAATAAGTAACACTACAAGACTTACGCTTTGACTTTCCAGGAATATAAAATTCATCCATCTTAGGTACCGAAATTTCATGTTTATCACAAAATAAAGAAACTTCATTCATCCAAGATTCCCACCTGTCATCTCTCAACAATTGCAGTCTCTTTTTATTAATGTCAAGAAATATCATGGCAGTAACAATATCTTTCTCCTTTCTCTGCAATGCTGCACTCAGCTCATTTGACATCACCAATTTTTTCAACATCAAATGAAGCAAGAAAAAAAATTCAAATTCATTGATCATATTCAAGAAAGCTCATACTTGCAATCTATCATTAGGGGTGGAACCTCCACATTTAATTGCATCAAGCACATGAACTATACATGAAAATAAAATAACAAAGTTATCCAATGTTTTAAAATGAGATCTCCAACGAGTGTCACTTGGTCTTTGAAGCCCTCGTTCTTGATTCAAACCTTTACCACTTTGAACCTCACCGCTTTCTAGTAGTTGTTCCAACCTCTATGCTTGATGGTCCCGCTGTTGATCTCTATGCTTTAACGATGATCCAACCACATTCAACACGTTAGCAATAATAGAAAAGAAGTTTTCCACAAGTAATTTTTTTTGGCAGCAACTACAACTGTCAATTGTAATGGGTGAGCAAAACAATGAATACAATGTGCGGATGGTGTTTCCTTCAAAATTAAAGCTTTAAGACCATTCATTTTTCCCTGCATATTACTAGCCCCATCATAGCCTTGTCCACATATTTTAAATGTACTCAAAGAGTGTCTCAAAAGCAAAGAACATATTATTTCCTTCAACGATTGTGTAGATGTATCACCAACACGAACAATCGCAATAACTCGCTCATTCACTTTGCCTTTTTATTAACATACCTCAAAGCAAGGGACATTTGTTCGTGGTGTGATATGTCTTTAGATTCATCAACTAATATTCCAAAAAAAATCTCCACCTAAGT